TCCGTCTTTCCTGCACAAGCACAACTGCGATCTCGGCCATCTTCCCCCCAAGAATGATTGTGCTCATCTCCCCACCCCGGAGCACACCCGCGTTCGTGCCCGTCTTTCCCCCCCAGCGTGATCGTGTTCGCACCCGTCTCTCCCCCTATAGCACGCCCGCAATCGCGCTCGTCTCCCCCCCCCGCAGCACGCCCACGTTCACGCCTGTCTCTCCCCCACCAGCGCGCTAGGATGACAGGCGCGTACAGGGATGACGGGCGCAATTGCGGTTGGGGCGGGCGGGGCAGGGAGATCGCTGTGCTTGTGCTCGGGGTGATGGTGGGGAGATGACCGCGATCTTTGTTGTTCTTTGTCACTTTGCTTCACATTTTTCTGATAAAAAATATAGTTACAGAACAGATTAACCTTATTTACATTGAACCGTATGGGGAAATTTAACTTGGCTCACAACCAATTTGGGTCACGACCAGAGACCTCGAACGGATTAAGTTTGTGAGCCAAGGTACCACCATTGCTTCTATTTATGTTTAATTGTATAACTTGTAAGGCTCCTAGAGTTTCAATTTTGGGAACAGGGAAAATATAAATAAATATAATAATAACTCAAGAAATTAGTGTGCCAGTTTCTGGCTTATTGTTTCAGAAAAGAATTTAACATAGCATTTGCTCTGGATAGTATATTTATTGATAGTTTATTTGGATAAATAGTGTATTTATCAACTAATACAATGTAATTAATACAAAGGAAGTTCTAGCCTTGAACTTGGAAGAGCTGAACTGAGCCCTTGTGGACAGAGCATTTTGGAGGGCTTTCATTCATAGGGTGACAATAAGTTGGAGATAACTTGGTGGCACATAACAACATTGCAATTTAAAATGTCGACCAGTAAAATATAACTAGTTTTAACTTGCAATATAACTTGCAAATTTTACTAGCAAGAAACTTGTAAATGCAAAACATGATACAGGAATGAATCTTGTGTGGGAGATTGAGATACCAAGGAGTTTGAATGGAGAGCTTGGCAATACGAGGAATGGCTCTCTTAGACTATATTTTGATATAAAAGTGATACATGCATTTAAGAATAAAGTAAAGTCAGGCAAGTACAATTCTAGACCTGAACCTTCTTTCAGTTTTTCATGTAATGCTGTACAGTTACCAGCTATGTGTTTTTATGCTTTCATCTATAAAAAAAGTTAACCAAATAATGGCAGCAGATTGCATGTTGCTTGCCATTCTTTGTGGCACAGCAAAATTAGCCCTAGGACTTAATAGAGTGAACAAGGGTTGTGGCTGACCAGAAGAAGAGAAGGGAGACCAAACATAAGATGCTTCGGTTCCATAATGGAAGCCTCAGCCATGAGTTTACAAGAACTGGGCTGGCCTGTCAGGGGGGAGCTTTCAGTCATAAGTCAGAGTTGACTTAACAGCACATAACAACAACAAATGATAAGTACTTGTCTGCTGAGCCTTTATTTATTTAATATATTACAACCTGCCTTTTTCCCTTCTGTGTGGAACCCAAGGTGACTTACATGATCCTCCTCTCCATTTTATTCTCTCAAGAAACCTCTGTGGTAAGTTAGGTTGAGAGTCATTGACTCACCCAAAGTCATCCAGTGAGTTATGACCAAATGGGGACTAGAAACTGACTCTCCTGAGTACAAACCACAAGTATAAAAATTCCACTGGCTATCACTCTTTAGGTTAAAAGTAGCTGATGGCCAGATGTTCCCCTCAAAATGGGAGGTAATAAAGGCAATCTTAAACACTTTAGAGTAGTCCTTTGTAACCTGATGCTCTTCAGATGTTAGATGGTAACTCCCAGTATTCTTGACCATTGAGCATAATGGTTGAGGCTAATGGGAACTGAAGGCTGGGTACCAGACTTACTCATTGAGATGCAGAAGTCCAAATCTTTTTTGGGCACAATGAATAAATTGCACAATGAATGGGTCCTGCTGTGAGCAGCATGTACTTCATTTCTCTGACATTTAAAATACCAGCAAGATTTTAAAATATTGCTGCATTTTCCTTTAGACCTTTTACTAGAGGTGCAGCATCTCAGCTCTAATAGCCAAATTCACCCTCCTGGGGTCAGGTCCCTGAGAGGTCCATACTCCTTTCCCCTGGCTACCAAGCATTTGATTATTTCCCCTATTTTTGTTTAGGAGAAGCATTCTAAAAGGGTGAAATGTATCTCCTAACAGTGTGTAAGGGCTGTAAGTTTTAAGGTAAAATATGCTGGGATTTTTATCTCCACCCCATTGCCTTTGGCCCTACCTTGTTTGCGTTTGGATTGTGGCCCCTAAAATCTTCTGTGTATTGAAATTGGCCCTCAGGTTTAAAAATGAGAGCCGTGTGGTATAGTGATTAAGAGCACAGGGCTGGGACTCAGGCAATCTGGGTTCTAGTCCTGGCTTAGCTAACCAGGTCAACCAGGTAACTCTGGGCCAGTCACAAACTCTAAGCTCAACCTACTTGACAGGGTGGTTGTTGTGGGGATAGGGTTGAGAGCAAAAGGAGGAGAATGATGTAACCTGCTTTGAGTTATTTGAAAAAGAAAAAGGTGAGCTAGACCTCTAATAATAAAAAGATATGACGCCCCTGTCCTATTGGCGCATTCTGGCAGTTTTATCATTACATCTCATTTACATCCCACTTTTTTCTATGTAAAGTGGTTTATTTAGTCATCCTCTACACCATTTTACCTTCATATCAAGTGAGGGGGTTAGGTTGTGAGTGAATGGCTAGCCCAAAGTCAGCCAAGTGGAGATGAGAACCCAGACCTCCCATGTCTCTTAAGCACCACATCAAGCACCACTCTTAAGCACCACATCAAGCAGTTGAAGTTCTTTGGTGGTAGCACCATGCATAGAAATCCAGGGTAAAGCTTCAGATTGGTGCCAGTCACACACTCTGATTCTAAGTAGTCCAGGAAGAGGAGCTATAAAGAACATACCCCAAGAGAGATCATGTGTGTGTGGACCAACATTTTGGTAAGGGGCAAGGCTCTGTCCCTGCAGATACTACTTTGGATCTAAGCTTGTCCCAGTCTTCTGTGTTTTCATTAGCAAGATTTGCTTTAAATCTACTGAAAGCATTCTTGGTTTATGGCTGCTTTTTCTCCAGATGTCTTTGAGCCATGAATATCTAAAAATGGTTGTATTCTAAGCTTTTTGTGCTATATCTAAGAGTGTGTGTGTGTGTGTGTGTGTGTGTGTTAACTAGATAGAGAGTAGTGGCAAAATGTCAAATAACTAGGACAACAAAATGTGGATTACCATCAAAATCTGTTATCAGTAACAAAATGTCAAATATAACTGTTTATGCCTTCGTGGTGCTGCTAGTAGATGGAAATAGATCTGTTTCATTTTACATGTATTGCACTTTGAATTGTTCTTCACCTTTGTATTCTCATAGTTCGCATCTTGCTCCAGATACGCTTGCCAGTCATCACACCCTCTCTTTCCTTTTCCAGCTCAAGCTTTTGAGTCTCTTGCTGAGCTGCTCTACGTGCCTGAAACAGCCTCCCACTTCCATCTGCTAGTCTCACTTCTTCGAACCTTTTCCAGCCCTCATCTCCAAAGCCTTTCATGAGCTTTGCTTTTCTTAGCTGTTCTGCCACCTTTTGTTACATAATCATACACCTTTTTCATGTTTTAATTTTTAATTGTTGATATCTTTTAAAAAATCAGTTTTGATCTGTGAAATGTAAAATGTTGTCCAGAGGGTTTATATTGGGGTGCAGCAACTTGGGGCAATTTCTCATTTCTCCATCATGCTACCAAAAAAGTAGGGAATAGTTTTTGAAATGTGTAGTTTTCAAACTAAATGTGGCCATTCTTGGCTGTGGGAACATAAATGGGAAAATTTGCTTGCTTTTTAAGCCTAGGTAGCAGTTTGCTGCTGAATTTTAAAGCCAAAACCTTTAAAAACAAATATCTAGTAAACTAAAATAGGGACAGGAAGCAGCTTTCTGTGGTCTGCTGGTCATATGTTACCAACCCCATGTATATATCTATCCTGTCTCACTTACTGCGCCTCAAGACACTAAATTAAATCTTAACAGCATTGTAATACAGTAGAATCAAACAGGATCAGAATTGATTTGGAGGAACCCTTCCATTGCATCACTGGGATCCAGTGAAAACACAAGAAAGACCGGATAAGTTTTGAAGAGGCAGTAGGAATTTATGCCATGGGAACAGGATGTGGTCCTACAAAGACAGCACATTAATGCAGGTTGCTAGCTTGTTTAATAAAGTCTTAACAATCAAAAGCAGGATCTGCCTTGCATTTTTCACCGGTATGTAATAACAACCGTGTATCAGTGACTGGATATTTGCAATGGATTGTTTATATGCTGTCTTGTATATAGTAAGGGAAAATCCCTTTTTAAAACTGTTGCAGCAGAAAAAAGTGCCTCCTTTCCCT